GAGAGAGAGAGAGAGAGAGAGAGAGAGAGAGAGAGAGAGAGAGCAAAGTAGTGGGCGCGCGTGGAGGGTAGGCAGCGAGTGGACGTGGGGGGGGCAACGCAGTCTCGACCTCGTTCCCTTTCGACGAAGTGTCGAAGTGACGGGTCCTGCTTCTCGAAAGCAGCTGGAGGCGGGAGGCGGGGTGGTGGGGGCTGTGCCTGGGGATTTTTGGATCGCCGCCAAGATCTTTGGGTGGTTCCCGCCCGAATGTTCAAAAATGGGCGGCCTATCTGGGCCGCAGATCTCACCAGATCGACGGCCCAAGTAGACTGCCAGTTTTTTAATAATCTGGCGGGCCTACCGGACCCGGTTGATTTTTTTTGGGGGCCAGGAGGCCTCCACGACCTGCATGGTGGCCTCCCGCCCTCCAAAAAAACCGAATCCCCCCCGCCAGTGAATTGCGCCATTTCCAATCGGCGGGGAACCGGTGCTCTCCACCGGCTGGTACCACCGGCCCGGTTTCGGTTGGGGAAGGGGCCCCCGGGGGGACCGGATGTTCAGCCTTGCTTTGAATGCTTTTTAATCTATGGTGTTAATTCTACTCGTAGCATGCTTTTCGTGATGTCATCTTATGATTTGATTCAATTTTTGATTGGAATGTATTTAGCCGTCGAACTCCGAACTTTATGTTTTTATGTTCATCTGCCTCTTCTTCGTCTTCTTCTTCCTCTTCTCTCTCTTCTTCCTCCTCTGACACATCCTCATCATCAACCCCATCATCGACACATGCATGGTCAGTTTGGCCGTCACAATGGCCTTGTTGTGCAAGGCTTCCTTTGTCAGATCGACCATTACAGATGCCTGTTCGACGGAGACATTCCTCATCTCCACCGCCACCTCCAAGACAGCGGCCTTGTTTGTCCTTGAACAGCATGATCACCAGACCCGATGCGGGGGTTAGAGATCTGCTCTGACAAGATGCTTGCAACCGTACAGAACGACATTGTCGCTCGGTACACTAGCCAGGAATAGTACACATTGAATGCCGGCCTGCATGTCCACCAGACACGAGGTGCAGCTACCTGTGCAGCATTTGCACGACTGGCAACCACTCTGAGCACAAGTGCAGCTGATCAGTTTCCGCTTCATGCATCGGACCCACCCATTTCTCATCCACCTAACCCCACCTGCTCCCCCGCCCCAATTGCTAATGATTACTTGATGGCCCCCGGATGAAGGATGATTTTTCTCTAGAGTGCATAGTAGAACCAATGGAGTTAATACAGCCGGAGGAACCTGACAGAAATAGTCAAGTGCGCAACGAGTCTGTGCTAGCTGTGCGATCTGTAGAACTGAATGAACCTCCCCCTGCTGCACAATCTGTGGAATCAGAAGATATCATAATGCTACAGCGAGGCCACTGTGCGTACTATGCCATCAATGTATCTCCTCCCATACAACTGCAACCCTTATACCATATCTGATTTTGCAGACATTGTCTGCTGGATAGAAGAATAGCACCGTGCTATCTGCCCAGAGGACGACAGTACAGCACTTGGCGTAAACATAGCCGTTCTCTCTATGGCATTTATGGGTACGCGACTACAACTACAGCCTGCCCCACATAATCACGTGATAGGCATGGATCCGAATATTTGTGCATACATCCTACTGTCCAGGCCGTTTCAGGGCTGATACTTTTGCAGATAATTCATGGACTCTATGGGATAATTGCGGTAGGTTGCACACATTGAAAACATTAACTCTTTCTATCACCAAGCGGTCGTCCATCAAGAACAGTATGTTGGTGTACCCGCAAGCTTGACAGCAGCTGGAGAGCAATCTGGTTGAGCCACCTCGTTCCCCTGTGCATGGCCAGGCCGAGAGTCCTCCCTGTGTAGATCGGACGGATTCTATCACGGACAGTGAAGGGGTGTTACATGCTGCGCCTGCAACAGGCTGCACGTGCCATTTTCAGGCCCGCGTTGTTTCAGCCTGAAAGTCTGAAAACAAGGGCCTACAGGCCCCGTGTTGTTTTCAGCCGGAAAGCCTGAAAACAAGGGCCTACAGGCCCCGTATCGTTTCAGCCTGAAAGCCTGAAAACAAGGGCCTACAGGCCCTGTGTCGTTTCAGGCTACATCAGGGCCTTTCCGACCCTGAGTATTTTCAGCCTGAAACTGAGGGCCATTTTCAGGCCCTCATCAGTTCGACCTGCCCTGAAACTCAGGCACCAGACCAGGGTTTTAGCTCAGGCCATTTTTGGCCTATTTTCAAGACAACCTTTGTTTGAGCTTCAACCCCAGGGTCTGGCATGTTTTGGCATTGGCAAGAGCAGCCTCCTAGACGGGCCAGCACTATATAAGACTGGCCCGCCCTGCAGCCTGCAGGTAGTTGGGAGGTAGCTCCTAGGTACTTCCCAGGCACCTCACGTGGAGGCAGGAGGCAGTCAGTAGTCTTCAGCATTCGGCAGCAGCACTCTGGAGGAGCGCTGCAGGAGTAGTGGTAGTGTTAGCAGCAGTCTTCAGCGCTGGGCGCTAGTAGCGTTAGGTGTAGTCTTCCGCGTTGGGCGCCATAGCTAGAGTAGTACTAGAGAGAGAGATTGGGCGGAGGCCGAGGATACTTACCTGCAGCGCCGTTGCTCCAGCTTCGTCTTCGAGGTACCTGCAGCACAGCGCCAACTTCACAGGTTAGTACCTGGCTCGTGAGAGAGAGAGAGTTCTTCTTCTTGGTCTTCTCATTCCACCATCTCCTTCTCACCCTCTCACTGTCTGACTTCACTGCATCAACAGACTACGAGAGAGAGAGAGAGAGAGAGAGAGAGAGAGAGAGAGAGAGAGAGAGAGAGAGAGAGAGAGAGAGAGAGAGAGAGAGAGAGAGAGAGAGCTTGGTGACATTCAGATCCAATCTCGACATTGGACTTCATACATTTTGAAGAGGGATTATTTGGGACTCGTAACGAGACTTGGTGTTGACGTCTTTCCCATCTCCCCCTTCCTCTTCGTCTGATCCCCTCCTCTTCATTTGTGTATGTCTGGACCTGGCGCTTCTTCTCTATGTATAGCGCAAGGCTCCCTTCACACCTTGTGATGAGTATGATGTATGTTTGGTCTGCATTCAAACGTTGATGGGGCTAGTCATTAGTATTCTAGCACTCTGGTTTGCTATCTTGTACTACGTTGTCGAGCGCATCGGTCCCGCACGGGGACCCTCCCGGCCGCGTCACACAGGATTCGGCAGGACTTATCGCGGAGAGCGTTGCCGCTCCGGCCGAGTGCGCCAGCCGTACCTCTTGCGAGCCCCTACGATAGGACAGGGTCACGCGAGGCACCGCTTACCTACACCTGCGGGAG